TGAGGGAGAGGGAGGGGGTGAGGGAGGGGTGGGGTGACACACTGGCACACTCACACACTGACTGACACACTGACACACTGACTGACACACTTCCACACTTTCACACTGACACACTGACTGACACACTTCCACACTGACGCACTGACACACTGACTGACACACTTCCACACGTTTACACTGACACATTGACACACTGACACACTGACTGACACTGATACACGGATACACTGACACACTGACAGACACACAGACACACTGACACACAGACACACTGACTGCTACACTGCCACACTGCCACACTGACTGACACACCGACTGACACACTGACACACTTCCACACTGACACACTGACACACTTCCACACTGACACATTGACACACCTCCACACTGGACTATCTCACCAGTAAACCCCCCAGGACAGTGCTTCTGACTGAAGTGTCTTTAGGCCATTCCCAAAGGGGGGCTATTAACATGTTCTTATGCACGGTAGAATTGTAAATGGGCTGATTTATCAATGTCATGCTCATACTGAGCCGGAACAACATAGGGGGAACTGCTGCTTTTTCTTTCCTCATCCTTACTATCGTCATTTTCCTCCACTTCTTTTGTATGTTAGTCACTCTCTTGTGACCCGCTATTTCCAGGGTGCCTTGATAGTCGAAGCAGACTTTGTGCTGTTGAGGCTAGAGGGGTGAACAAAGAAAGCCTGATTCCCCGTTTGGACTTCCCTGTTGACATCTACCCTTTGACGCTCCTATGATCTTATTGTATTGCGAGCGCCGTAAAACCTGTACAAAATCTACCAACGGTCTCACCAGTTGAGCTTGGGGCTGTAGACCACTAGGACGCCGGAGGCGGGGTAGGCCAGTAGGCCGCTCACACAGCCGAAGGCCAGGCTGCTCAGGTTCACGCACGAGATCCCCAGGGCCAGGTCAAGGTTCATGTCGACGTGTGCGCCAATGGGCGGGGAGCTGTGGGTGGGCGGCAGGCTGTAGTAGCGCCCCCTGGCCGTGTGGCGGTGCCAGGGGGAGCCAGTGGTGGATGTGACAAGGAGGCCAGTACAGTGACGTCATTCACACACGTCACGGACAACTGTGGACCACAGACACAACACGTCACACGGACAACTGTGGACCACAGACACAACACGTCACACGGACAACTGTGGGCCACAGACACAACATGTGACACGGACAACTGTGGGCCACAG